GTATCAGGAGTTATGGCACAAGAAATATTGCCCCAAATACAGTTGGTTTTGAGGGAGCCTTCAAAGCGTTAATGGTGACAAAACATGAATTCTCCTTACTCATGACGAGCCAATTGTGAGGAGGATTCAAATGAATGACTTTTATAGACCTTTTTTTATAGACATAGACTTTTTTTAAAGAATAAATAGTATTACTCCTTAAGCCCTTGAAGAATTTAATGTTAATTTAGACCAATGGCGCATAAGAATGAGCTAAAAAATATTTTCCAAATACAACAATAAACGTCATTTTGTACAACTGGACTAGATCATACAATAACATCAGGGCGCTAGAGGTGCTGCTTTCAGAGAGTTGGCACAACACTTCTAAAAGAAGATTCGCTTTCTCCTAATAATAATACCTCGTGTGTTCATAAGTTTTGAGACAAACTTTGTACTGAAAAAGAGATCTGCGGCCGGATGTAGTGTTCTACTATCTCTTGGACATGGATTCTAAACTCACCGGTGTCCTTGAAGAGTGAAGACATGTAGAACTGATACTTTTTGATCATATATATTTCTTTTATCATGAAGTAGTATTTGATACCTTCTAAACCAGATAAAAAAGTGACATTTGTTCCCAGGTATACGATGGTGATGTTTCATGTCAAGATTGCCTTGATCTTGTAATGAATGAGTTAGATAGACATCAGAACATGACCCTTAATAACCAGCAAATTGCCTCTGATCATTACATTTTTGTGACCTATCCTTAACTAGGAGGAGTGGAAGATGTTTTCGTCTAAAACCCGAAGGAAGACAAGAGACGAAATTGCTAGAAGGAAACTATAAAAGATTAAATTAATCTTAAACATTAAAATCTTATATTCTCATTTTACAAAGGTTAAGGTTATATAAACACTATGGTGCGACTTTGATATGATATAATATAGATTATAAAAGGAGATGCAACAAACAACAACATTTATACCTTAGAAAACTGAAAAGTTTTAATTATTCCTCGATATTTATCTCTTTTATTTTCATTCTACAAAGGTCAAGGTGAAATGCATATATAAATTGTTTAATGACTTGTTTAGCATACGAGATTATAAAAAATAATCTTTAAAAGGAGAAACAGCAATAAATAAAATGTATTTTTATTCTAGATTCCTGCAATTGCTATAGTGTGCAACCCCTGTTGGCAGCATGCTCATGTCAACAACAGGCAAGATGAGCAATCAGTTCCAATGTCGGAACCAGGACCAGTTCCTACACCTATTGCAGGAGTTGATGAGGATCAAGTTAAAGAAAATATTTACAGAGGGTTGATATCAATGGCAAAAGATCCCCTGGATCGAAAATTAAGATGGGTGTTCCGCAGGGCTCAATACTTGGTCCTTTCTTGTTTTTGATTTACATAAATGACTTGCCTTATTTCGTAAGGGATGATTACGAAATAGTTTTGTTTGCGGATGACACTTCACTTTTGTTTAAAATTAAAAGAGGGTTACCTCTAAATGACGATGTGAACAATTCTATCGCTAAAGTAGTACATTGGTTTAATGTAAATAATCTTCTCCTTAATGAAGGAAAAACAAAATGCTTAAAATTTGTACTACCTAATGTTAAAAAAGTAGATATAAATGTTAATATAAAAGATAAGAACATGGGCCTTGTGGATACCACAGTATTTATAGGAATAACATTAGATTCTAAACTACAGTGGGGCCCACATATTGATAGATTGTCGAGTAGACTTAGCTCTGCAGCATATGCCGTTATGAAAATACGTAGGTTAACTGACATAGATACTGCCAGATTAGTATACTTCAGTTACTTTCATAGTGTAATGTCGTACGGACTCCTATTGTGGGGAAATGCTGCCGACATACAAACAATTTTTGTGCTTCAGAAAAGAGCAATTCGATCAATTTATAATCTTAGGATTAGGGACTCTTTAAGGGAGAAATTTAAGGAAATAGACATTATGACTGTTGCTTCTCAATACATATACGAGAACTTAATGTACGTTCGTAAAAATATTAGTTTGTTTTCTATAAAAAGTGATGTACACAATTTTAATACAAGAAATAAAAATAAATTAACGGTGCCTGTCACTAGACTGCAAAAAGTTAATAACTCATTCAAGGGTCTTTGTGTGCGCTTCTACAATAAGGTCCCAAGCAAAATACAACAATTAGATATCATGCAGTTTAAATCTACTATTAAAAAAATACTTATTAAAAAAGCTTATTATAAGGTATCCGATTATATAACAGATAAGAACGCTTGGACTTGAGATGATCCAGCAACTGGATAGATGATTACTTCTAAACTCATTATCTTGTTTCCATTATTATTAAATGATTATGTTATCATTATAAGACCATATTTATTTATTTTTTCTCTATCTCTGTTTATAATGTACCTATAGATCTGGTAATGACATGGTTTTTGTAAATGTCATTACTCTTATTAGAGCTGGTGAGTTTCTTGCTCGTTCTTCTTATCGGCCAAAAGACGTCCTGAACGAGTGGTAGGGAAAAAAATGTTGGACGATTCAAAAGTACTTTTAAGAAGTCTATTTGAATAAAGATTATTTTGACTTTGACTTTGACATTTTACTAAACCAACCCAAACTTCGGGTACAGCATATCAATCTTCAAAATTATAAACGTACAGCGAATACGCCAAACCGTTGTTTTGTGCCAGAATGCATGAATACTGAACAATTACGTGTACAGCTAACATTAAAAAAAATACTCAAAGAAAATAAATTATATGTCACAGATTCAAGAAGAATCTGTGAATCCCATATTAGAACAAATAATTGGAAAGATTTCGTAAGAGAAAATATTGATCAGGAAATAAAATATTACCGAAAATTGCTGTTTAATTTTTTATTCTACGTTAATTAGTAATTAGAGAAAATAGGCAATATAAATAACAGATATTTAGAAGTTCTTGTGAAGTTTATTTTTATCTTCATATTTTATGCAAAAATAAATAAAGATCCTGTCGAGATCTACATGCAAATTATATCGTTATACATTGATGAAATCACTGTTATACGCCTATATATTTATGCATTGCAGTAAGTCAATGTAAGCTATAGATTTTTCATAATTAGCATAAAAAAGAAAAGGCAATAGCGCTACAACAACTACCCTTTCAAATAATCAATATCTATATAATCACGACTGATTTGTAAGGAAAATGTGACCAGGTAAATAGTACAATTAAGCAAATAGATACCTATTTGCTTAATTGTTCAAAAGAAATAAATTCAATATGTAGAAATTTAATTGAGGTGTATAGATGGTACATAGTGAGTAAAAAGACGAGGAAACCCCTTGTTTATGAAAAACAAAAACAGTCCTAGGCAATTGTCTACAACAACAAAAGAAAACGTCCGGTTTATTATTGTAAAAAACTTTCAGGGACTTGATAATTTATCAATCCCGCCATCCACCACGCACCATTTTGATGAAAAGGAATAAGAAGAATTACTAAAGCAGCCATCGCAACAAAACTGTTTTCAAAGAAGCTTCCATCATTTCAAAACATCATGCCCAAAGATCTCAAAAGGAGACAGTTTAATACGCAGCGAAAAACTAGTAGAAACAAAAAGCAGAAGAATCTTAAATGCGCCTCCATTCCAATAACTGGGACCAAAACAAACCTAACTCGACTCGATCCAGACCCAGCAAGGGACATTCAGCGACTAAAAACTCAGAAACCCCCGAGGATTTCGTTTGGGGCCGACTTCTGTCATTTATAGAAATTACGCTATATTATGAACTATAATTTACGCAATAAGTAATTACTGGCTACCGCTGGGCGATACATCTGAAGATATCTCTGGAAACGATAATGAGATTGATACGCTTCAGACTGAACATGATAATTTCAATATTGGAGACTATGTCATATTTGTATACGAAGGCTTCTGTTTCGTTAGTATGATAGAATCATTGTTTGAAGGTGTAAAAGTCATTAAAAATTGGAAATGGCCCGAAAAAGAAGAGTTACCAAAGAAGTTTTTTTTTGATGTTCCAGAGATACAGAAATACTGGGATTTATGCTAACTGCTAATGTTCCTCATACATGTTACTACAATGATGTCCCAGATATTTCCAAAAAAATATTTCCCTATCCCGCATACGCTTCCCCGCAATACGCTTCCCTGCTTAAGACGTGTTTTTGGTCGAGCCCCTGTCTAATCGTCTTAAACGAGTTTTACATGGAATTTTTCAGAACTAGTTAATCAAATTTCGGAATATGACCCAGTGCTAAAGGGACAAATAAAATTGAACATGCTATCGCCTATATCAAACTAAAACGTTCTTATTTTTTGACGAAATAAAAAAAATTTTTTTTAAATAATTTCCAATAGCCCTCCAGAAACATCACATCATCGACATGATCGACATCGAGTTGCGTGGTCTTCTTATTTTCTTTTAATAGTGACATTGTGTCAACCACATTTGGGCCAATATCACGTAGGTCACCGGGTACGTGTTATAAATATATTCAACCAACTTTGAGACTCTAACTCTTTTTACTTGGATTTATTTGCCCAGAAAATCACAATAAAAATTATAGACAGACACACATAGATAGGACCGAGTTTAATGGAAGACATAGGTATAACAAAAACTTGCAATGTTAGAGTTTTAATTTATTGACACAGACTAGTTATAGTCACGTATTTTTAGAACGTAGAACAAGCTTACTAGGTCAGATATGATCATATTGAAGGCAATCAAGCTGAAGTTTAAGTTTCTGCCCTAAAGTAAATAAGAGATCACAATGATATCTGAATCACCTGTACGCAAGTTTACATCTACCACAACGAATACCTGATTGTTAGTCAGTTTTAAGAAATTCAGTGGAATATTAATATGGCAATTGAAAATTATTATTAAATATCAAAATTATAGTTATACATAAAACGGTGCCATAAACGTCAAATGAAGCCCTGACAGTTGATGAGGCAGGTAATAAAAGTCCAAACACGATTTACATTTACGTTTAATATGTAAGTGTACCTCTTGAAGTTCAATAAATAAGAGACGTAAATGTTCCATTAGAAGATGATTTCCTTCAACAAACCTGCTGGCTTACCGACTATAATGCCAACAATTTATCCTTAACAAAATTTCTGTCCATCAAACAGTATAACATCGATTATTTAATATATATACATATATATATTTTGTTCATTTTCAGCAATTTAAATCAATTCAGACTGTTAAACATATAACCTCGCTTGAAAAAAACTGTACAATATATATTATAAAAAAAAAAAACAAACTACGAAGTCGCTCAACGACAGAAGACACCAATCACAAACATTGACTCCAAGAGCCTATTTCAAGATGTAATACATTCAAATTTTATATATTTTCTCGCCTTATCCACTGCAGGGTAGGCGTGGACATTAATAATATAATAGAAGTGATATTATTAATATAATCAATACAGTACTAAGCTCTGTAATTTTGTTAGCTGCGGTTGTGCCGGTTGCCCCAGCCACGGCGGTGGTCATCCTTATACTCGTCCATGTTACGTTTGCGTTCGAGTTCTTCTAGATCATCTTCCTCCTCCAAACGTTCCTGAGGACAGGTACAACGCATATCTTATAATAATAGTACAAAACAAAAGTCGCTTCTCGGTGTCTGTATGCTGAGATCTTAACGAATTTTAATGCAATTTCCAGTTTTTTCAATATACAGTCATTTAGGAAGAACACGCGGGCAAAACCGTTAGTAACATACGATAAAAAATTAGTTTAACGAAAAAATGCCGTAACGTCATTGCACTAATCGGATTAATAGAAAGGAGATTGATTTGTTTCCTTAGGAACTTGGTCCTAAACATTACACTGATGATGTATGGACGGTTTTACATATTAAAACTCAACTCCCCTAATGTTATAAATTTAGTTATGTTCTACGTAATATTCGAAATCGAAAAGGCTTCGATTGTGTCTAATGAGTACGTGCAGATTATTCATAATAGCAGTAATCGTCTGTCCTTTACACAGGAAGTCGATGTTATAAGGAAAATCTTGGTGATATTTCTTACAAGTCACAAATTACGTGATAAAACTTTTATTTGTTATAAATTAAAGGAATATACCTAAACATTAAAATTATGAAATAATGCATTAAAACGTCAGTCTTTTAAATTGAATAGCTATTTGATATGTGAAATAGTAATTTATAATAAATTTTGGTATTCAGTAAAATCGTGTTTAACGAGGAAGAAAGTATTTATTACAAAAGTTTTTTTTATTTATTAAAAAGTTTATATATTTATTAAAAAAGTTTTTTTATTTATTAAAAAAGTTTTTTTATTTATTAAAAAACTATAATGATAAAATAGACTGTTTTTCAGACTGACTAATTACCAGTGGTCGGAATTAGGTAGAGTTATTCATGTTCTTACACTGATTTCATACAGCGAAAGAATAAAGTGGATATGCCTCAAATCCCGAGATTAATTTTAAAGAGCAGAAAAAATCCCGTATTTTTAAATAAAAATTTATTTACTTTTACACAATTTAAACTACTGCACGCACGACGTTGCCAAACTTACATCAATGAAAGAAAGAAATAAAGAAAGAAGAAATAAAGAAATCCCGGGAAGGTCCACATTAATATCAACATTTCGATGCAAGTACATAAATAACTCTACCTAATTCCGACCTCTGGTAATTACAAATGAAAGATGTCATATGAAAAAAAATCATTCAACATTTGTATTATTAATCTACAATAAATTACATCCTCATGGAAAAAGAACGTGATTGTGAAACTTATTTAGTTAATTTCATGTAAGTGGCCCAAGTTCGCCAATCTCCTTTCAGATTCCAATACTGAGTTTCACACACGCTATTCATTAATTGATTATTAAATCATAACTAATTTAAAAAGATACCTTTCGTATTTTTTCTTCTTCATCAGCATCAGCTTCAGTGCTCTGTATATTTGTGTGTGCAATGTTCGTTCCACTTGCAGGAAATCTGTAATAGTAAATAAAACAGTATACTGTCAAATATTCTTAATGAAAAATGCTTAGAAAATCCACTTTGTCCTGTCCCCATCTCAGGGCGCATTGGCGCATTACAGTATAGCATTGCAAATGCAAAATTGACCAAATACAGAGTAGTTTAATTTTAAGGGCCAATATTGATTTTAAATATAACTCAAATTATTTAGGAAATTATTGTATAGAACATATTATGTGTGGAACAAAATATCTCCATCCGATGGTCCAAATTTTCGATGACGCCGAGACATAATTGAGGTTCTATACCGTTAATGTCCCGAATTATCTCATCCTTTAGCTCTTGAATTGTTGCTGGCTTATCGACGCATAACTTTTCTTTTATATAACCCCAAAGAAAAAAAATTCCAATGGTGTCAAATCACATGATCTTGGCGGCCAAATGACATCGCCACCACGTGAGATAACACGGCCATTAAATTTGTCCCGAAAAAGAGTCATTGTTTCGTTAGCTGTATGGCAAATGGCACCGTCCTGTTGAAACCACATATCTTCCACATCCACATCTTCCAATTCGGACCATAACGAGTTCGTTACCATCTTACGATAGCAAACACTATTCACAGTAACTACCAGACCGGATTCATTTTGTAAAAAATATAGCCCAATGATGTCGCTAGCCCATAAACCGCACCAAACAGTCACTCTTTGTGGGTGCATTGGTTTTTCGACAATCACTCTTGGATTATTATTCGCCCAAATGCGGAAATTCTGCTTATTGACGAATCCACTAAGGTGAAAATGTGCCTCATCGCTGAAGATGATTTTCTTCGAAAATTGATCATCCACTGTTGCCATTTCTTGTTACCATTCTGACCATTGACGCATTTGGAATGGTCAAGAGGCTTTAGTCCTTGAGTTAATTGCACCTTGTAAGCGTGTAAATGCAAGTCTTTACGCATAGTGTTCATCAACGACGAGCGTGAGAGGTACAATTGTTGGGCACGACGACGAGTTGAGGTGGACGGCTCTTCAGCCAGACTATCGCGAACAGCAGCAATATTTTCTGCAGTACGAGAATGAACTGGTGTTTTCCGGTTTGCCGGAAAAATCGTGCAAAAATTTGACCCGGTTTGCTCAAATTTTTGCACGATTTTTCCGATTGTACGTACATTTGGACGAATAAATTGACCGAAAATATCACGAAGTGCACGATATGCATTTTGATTTGAACGCCCATATATTCATAATAAGACTGAATAACTTTAACACGTTGCTCGATTGTGTATCTTTCAATGGTTCATATTGAGTTAGTCTGAAATTGAGATATGTCAAATGAAATGCAGAAAAAAACTTGACGTTTAGGTGTGGTACACATTCAACATCGAACGGCCCTTAAAATTTAACCACCCAATATAGTAAGTATACTGTCAGTTGATCATTTATTTCTGATTCTATTTATTTTATACCCATTGCCTTACACTTTATATATCTTTTAATTGAACCACCTCTTCTACTTCATTTAGAATAAACATGTAATATGGTAAAATATAATTACTAAGTATGGTTTTTAATTAAACAAATTTATTTATTCACAGATAGTGTCATTAAATAAGTTGCTTTATTTATTATTAAGTTAAAAAAAGTTACTAGTCTGGAAATTGATGTCATGGGCTTAGTAAGAAAAGCTGTTATCAGCTGTCACCATTATTAACTTCTATATAAGTTTTGAAAATTAACTATTTTCAAGTTAAATAAACAAGAAATAGAGCATTTATTTGCTATTATTTTTTTATTCACTAAATCTAATAAAATCATATTCTTTCTGCTAGAATTCAAAAAGTAGTAATTAATGAAGCGAAATCTGCAGGGGCACCAGTTACTATAGGCGTACCTCAGGGATCGGTATTAGGACCATTGCTTTTACGAATTTATATTAATGATCTTCCTCACTTTACGAAGAATTTGTGCGAGACAGTATTATTTGCAGATGACACCTCTTTACTGTTTAAAGTTGAGAGGGGTAATGATTGTTTTGACGATGTAAATAATGCTCTCGACAATGTTCTACAGTGGTTTGATAATAATAATTTAAAGCTCAATTCAAATAAAACGAAATGCATAAAGTTTGCATTACCTAATGTGAGGCATGTCAGTACACTTATAAATGTAAATAGTGAAAAAGTTGAGTTAGTAGAATCGACAAAGTTCCTTGGTATTACACTAGATTCCCGACTGCAATGGGATCCTCATATTGATAGCTTGTCAAGTAGACTGAGTTCTGCAGCTTTTGCTGTTAAGAAAATTAGACTCTTGACAAATGTTGAAACGGCAAGATTGGTATATTTTAGTTATTTTCATAGTGTGTGTATGGTATATTGTTGTGGGGTTCTGCGGCTAGCATTCAGGATATTTTTATTCTACAAAAGACAGCCGTCCGTGCTATATATAATTTACGGTCTAGGGAATCTCTCAGATAAATATTTAAAGAGATAGATATTCTGACTGTTGGCTCTCAATACATCTATGAGAATATTATGTACACAAGAAAACATTACGATTCCTTCACAAAAAAAAAGTAGTGTTCATAATCTTAACACAAGAAATAAAAATAAACTTGATGTTTCAAGCTTCAGACTTCAAAAAACCAGAGGATCATTTCTGGTTAAATGTATTTCTATGTTCAATAAAGTTCCACAAAATGTAATTGACCTACCCATAAATAAATTTCAAATTCATGTAAAGAATATACTTATGAGTAAAGGCTATTATAAAGTTGATGATTATTTTAAGGATCGCAATGCATGGAATTGATAGCCTTTGCTTTGTTCTATAAAGACTAATTATATGTTCAACCTATTTCCTACAGACTTTGAAAGTTGTATTTATTATTGTGATAATACATATTATTTTGGTAATGACATGATTTATGTAAATGTCATTACTTATGATAAAAAGCTGGTAAGTTTCTTTCGCTTGTTCTTCTTGTCAGCTAAAAGACGTCTTGAAGTGGTGGTAGGGGGAAAAATACTTTTTGGACGGTTCAAAAGTGTTTGTAATAGCCTACTTGAATAAAGATATTTTCATTTCATTTATTTTTTATATTTTTCTTGAAAAACAGCAATCATCTATTAAACATATATTTATCAATAGCATTAAAATGTTCAAAATGCCCTGAAAGACATAACCATTTATCATCACATTCAACATTGGAATTACTTACATGCCATCCCTGACCCTCTGATCGTAGAACTCCTCAATAGTCATAGAAGGAAGGGCTGGATACCCTGCGCCGTACACCGCTTTTTGCACAGCATCGCGCGTAATTATTACTGGCCGCAATGGCGTTCTTGGACGTTCTTTAGGCTTTGGTTCTAAAGCAAAAATAATACAAAATGCTAAAATGTAAATATACAAAAAAATTGTTTATGCCATATGCATATAATCATAAAACACACTATGCTGTGCCGTCGCGTGTCTCGTATATTATAATTATTGAAGAAAAAATAAAATCCTTTTGACTGATTGGCTACTATTCTTTAAAAAAAAAAGAGACACCGTTTATCTTGTCTTTGTTATATAGTAGTTATTATGCACAACCTTAAAATGAAACCTGTTTGTTTTATGTTGTTTGTAGTACTTAATTTTACTTTCTATCAATGTTGAATATATTTTTCAGGTTTTTTGTCTAATTGCAATAAATTTAAGGATAAGGGTTTTCTCATAAACTTCTCATAGATTATGATAATTTAGAATGATAAATTAGCTATTACCTCCTGCATGCTTCTCCATATACTCTAGCAGTGGTTTCTCTTGTTCAATACTGCTAATTTCATCCAGAGCCTGGCTCACATAGCTCAGCAACATTGTAGTGAAGTAGTTCCTCTTGGTTTCATCATCTACCGAGGGTAGTGACATGGCTTTAGACAAAGTACTTAATTTCTCTTTTAATTCTTTCATCTCTTTATACCTTCGAATTTTAGCTTCCCTTGAAAGTACCTGATAACCAAAAAATAAAACTGTTACTAAACAAAATATAAATTATGTATATACTGTATAATTGTTGCAAGGATTGTTTCATTAATAAATTGAATCAACAGAATAGAAAATGTTACACACCAAAAAAAAATATGTTCGCTATCTAAAATGGGTGCAGAAGATTTTTTAATATTTTTCATTTTACAGATATACATGAAATATATTTAAAAAATATTTATAAAAAAGTATCATTCGTATAATAAGTTACAATCTAAAAATAAATTTTATTTTCATTTCCCGCAAAAACGCCAACTACTGTCATGGCGTCTATATGACTTCGTGGCCCTCTTTAAATTGTATGTATGCATAAGGTTTAATTCTTTAACAGTCAGTTGCATAAACATCCATCAAGGGTTAATTACACCTTTAAGCACTAATGATTGTCAAATTTGTATGGGTAATGGTGCATTAAAGTTATGACAATTTTAATGGATGTTAGTACAACTGACTGTAAGTTTTGAAATAAGTAAGAGGAGCGTGATGTCACATGCTGTTTGTGGTCATGTAAAATGAGTTTGTTTTGTCTTATTTAATTTAAACCATATAAATACAATAAGCATAAAAGTGTGACTATCGGTAATAGTATAAACACTACCAGAAAAAAATTATAAATATTTATTTTTGTTTACTGTCTACACCCTATATTTACCATTTACATTTTATTGCTTAGTGATACACACCAAAACATTATTTGTTAAGAATTCTATTTGTATTGTTGTAAACTAAGTTAAATGATTCTATGAGAATAAATGTTTCTAAATGTAAATTCTTATAGTTTCTTTAAATTACTTAAATAATATTATTCCTCACCATATTGGCAATCTTGGCTTGTTCACTCTGTGGCCTAGGTAAAGCTACTTCAGTCCCTTCAGTAGTCTGTGGCACCTCTACATCTGTCACACCATAATCCTTACATCTCTGGAGGAAATCTCTAATGAAACAGCACAGGTAAACAATGAGCGTCAGAACATAACATACAAAATCTACAGTTGATTCAGATTTTTAAGCAATAGACATTAAGACAAGTTTAACTGAATGAAAATCATTACTACTTTTCCTAGCAACATTGTGACAAAATGGCAAGTGACAAATTAGCAGTGGTTAAACAAATATGCTTCAGTAGTAAGACATAGCATAGCATTTAGGATATTGTGTATTCAGCTACTTTTCATGATATCTACTTGATACATGAACCAATCTCAACATTCTATAGAATCTTTAGTAAGCATTTTTACAGTTGCTATAAATGAATAAGTTATTTAAAATTCCCTAAGATTAGAAAAATTGTGTTTAAAACTTACTTAAAATATATTTCTGCTACATCAATTAGTTCTTTGCGTGGAGGACCAACCAACTTAAGGGTTAGAGTCCCAAGTAATGCAGGTAACAACAAATACTGCAATGTTTCAGTTGGCAATTCATCAAGACTCTCGTTTTTACTGAACATTCCAGAGACGGAGACTAAGTTAGTTGCTTTCTCTAACTTCGATATTGCAGATTTTATAGTCATCTGTAAAATAAATTATTTAGGTACCTAACATGAAATAATTAGGCAAGTGTATTTACAAGTTATGACGTTATTATTTAACATTCTGTTGAAATCACAATTTTGTTGCCAACAGGAATACATCAAATTGGAAAACCGTACATTAAAGTAAATAAATAATGCCGACAAGAAGGTCTTAGAGGTCACGATTGGTATGATAAACAAACAAAATACAAGTAAGAATAACCATAACAATCAAGAAGAATAATAGTGACACCACTTCAGTCGTCTGTATCTAACAAGTAAATTAATAAATACGTAATAAATCAACTGGGAGGCCAACATTTAGACAATTTACAACAAAAAAATAATGTCCACATACCTGAACCGGGTCGCTGTTTGTAGCTTCATTGCTATTTTCTATGTTGTCAAATAATTTCATAGCTTGATCAAATATATTTTTTAAAGACGTTTCGTCGGTAGAATTCCCTGCTTCGTTTTGCGCCATTGTTTTAGTCGATTCCTTCTTATCTTCTAGACTTTTCAGAGAAATCCAAAGAAAACTCTGAATTCAAAAATAAAGCAGTCAAAGGATAGGGATGTGAAAAAATAATCGATATGGGAATACCTATGAAAACGATTTTAAAGAATTGATTGATTATTTAAAAATCGATTTGTTTTATTTCAAGACCGTTTATCGTTACGGCTTCAATTAAAACAATAGAGTAAACTCTTTGACGTTGGAAACCTATGCGTTTAAACTTTATAGTTTTTATTTTTATTTTTTATTGTTGAAGTTGTCAATAAATGTTTTATTATATACGGACCTTTAAGTGTTTATGGCTTATCCCGGTAAAAGTAAAACTATGGTTTTTGCTGAGAAGTTTGGAATTCAGTAAAATTGGAATTCCAAAACTTGATGGAAATACCAACAAATGAATATCATGGAAATACTATACCGGGTACATTTAAAATGACTCTCCAAATTTTTTCTAGGCATTAGAAAAATGCATCAAGCATGAAAAAACGAAAACATTTTAGGTAGCTGCTACTAGCATACCAACTACGGTCAACGCAGGCATTCTTGTATTACTATCAATGAATTGCGGGAAGGGACTAGGGAGGGAGGGGTAAGTGTAACGTAGCGCGTAAAGCGCACGTACTGGGCAGCGAGAGCATCCACAAATGTGGGTTTATTAAAAATAACTTGGTGATGATATAACTCAACATTTTTGTTTTTAACGACATAAAAAGAAAAAACCCGTATTTCATTATTTGTCGTAAAGATTAACATACTCAAATTTGGAGAGTGGTTTTAAATTCTTCCTGTATATCTGCAGTTCTTTGAGGCATGGACGACATTATGAATATTGTTGATGGTAGAGTACAGAAACCTGAACAAACAACCGCTGCTGGTGATGACGTTGATGTAGTAGCTGCTCGAGCACGTTAAAAGAAACATTTTAAGGAGTACTGTACACTGGAGAGTACTGCCTTACTCTTGTTAATAAATAATATTTCTGATGAGCCGCTGGAGAAAGTGATTCGATTTACAAACTCGAAAGATGTATTATAAATTGTAAGATACCTGTATGGACTTTTCCAATATAAGGAGATCGTTATTAAAAATATTTGGACACACATCTCCAATATTAAAAATAATTGCCTACATAATGTTACACCTCCAATCACTGTTATTAAAAGCTATTTTATAATACGATAAATTAAATTAAATTTTTACTAATGTTTTTATACATAATATTAACATAATGAGTAAGTATTTTAAGAAATAATTTTTATACATAATAGGTAAGTGTTTTAAGAAAAAAATAAACTATAAAAAAAATATGGCTGTATCATTGATACAGCCATATTTTATGCGTGGATACGTCTATGTATGAATGGATATATGAGTAATTGATAAAAAAAAATAAACAAATTGAAGACACTAAATAAATAAATATTCGTTGCGTTCATTTGTTGAATGAAAAAAGTATTCACTAGCGCCAACAGATGGCGTTAGTGCATATACTCCTGCTGACAGAATGCCCCTCCCCCTGCAGAGCAAGCATAGTTCACTTATACGCCAATAGATGACGTTAGTGCATATACTCCTGCTCACAGAATGACCCCCTGTAGAACGAAAACATAGACGTATCCACGTCAATAATTTCGCTAGGTGGCAGCACAAAACCATTGGATTTGAATGTCAACTCATTACATTTGACCAAAGAGTATAGAGGTATCAGTAGTGTTGCTTTGGATGTGATAACTCGGTAAAATATCGAGTTTAACGTAGAGTTGGACAAATAAATCTTTGAATAAACTACTTTTTTTATTAGCACAAAAGAAAATATAAACTAAATTACACTATGTAAGTAAGTAAAATAACTCAACAAAAAAAAATCATAATATTATAATTCTGTTATTAAAACAGCATCACGTAAACTCGGTGTCCTGAACAAGATGCGGCGTTTTTTCACGCCCGAACAACTGTGCCTGCTATACAAAACGCAGGTCCGGTCATGCGTGGAGTATTGCTCGCACCTTTGGGATGGCTCCGCTAGGTACTTACTCGATGCTTTGGATAGATTGCAGCGCCGCGCAGTACGCATTATTGGCAATGGCGAAGTCACCAAGAACCTAGAAAGCCTGCAACTGCGCCGAGACGTTACTTCGCTCAGCGTCTTCTACCGTCTCTACCATGGTGAATGCTCTGAAGAACTCTTTTCTCTTATCCCCCCCATCTACCTTCCTCCTCAGGACCACACGTGCTGGTTTGCGTTGCCACCAACTAACTGTGGCAACGATTCCTTCGCCTACAAAGAAATTTGGCGACTCATTTCTTTGTCGAACCTCCAAAAAATGGAATTGTCTCCCGGCCCATGTATTCCCTCCTTCCTATGACATGGGGTCCTTCAAGCGGGGCGTAAAGAAGCACCTTGCAGGTCGGCAAGGTGAGGTTGGCTAGTGCAGTACCTACGTACTGTTTTCACTAGCTGTCCTCGCGTTTGGACTGCGCCTCCGCTTACCATCAGGTGGAGCGAAGTCATTTGCCCTCCATTTTATAAAAAAAAAAAAATCTAAATTTCGAACTTGTAAACTACGTAATGGTTAAACTATCGCCACTGTACGTGCATGGCGACAATGGGGCAGCAAGCGTGGGTTAGCGGAGAGTAAAGAGTTTCGTTCGAGTTCATATTAATTAATACAAGTAAGATGTGATATTTTTTCCTTTTTTAATAGTATTGAAAAGTAATAGGCGCCTACTCAAGAAATCAGTTCGACATTGTGTTATTAACTTATTTATGTCGATATCTTTAAGTGTCCCTCCAGGGATGTATAATGGCACAAGTACAAAACACATACGATTTCTGTGCTCTTGCTTGTTGTTCTTCATTCCAAACCCGAGTTCGGGTGAATCTGACTCGAGTCGGCTCAAGTTAAAAGCAACCAATAAATTGACTCATCACTAGTGTTGACATGATTGCATGATACTTTGGGTATGTTCCGATATACACTGCGACCACTGAACAGTATGACGTCAATTTAGTATACTGGAAGCCCGTTCCTTTATAGCTAGTTATAATGGTGACTTTTTAAAACGGAACGCAGTCCAGTATACTGTTAATCCTATTTTTTGGCGCCATTTTCAAATTTGTTAATGCAAGGTGAATATAAATAAAGATTCCCTCTTTTCAAAAGAAAATGTTATAAAATTGTGTATAAAAAAATTATTTATCAATTAAATCCGTCTTATAATAAACGTAAGTATTTTTTTTTTGTTTATTTAGAAACTTATCATTTTCTGATTCTGTTTCGACTGATCACGTGATCATAAGCACTGCGATCACCTTACCTCGAAATCTCCAGTGCTCACAGTACAAATATGGCGGCAATTTATGACGTCATAAATTTCCCTAGGGTACTGTAGCATTGTACTGGCAGTCCATAACGGAACGGATTTTTCAGCAGTAAGACTACTGCGCAGTGCTTGCAGTGTATATCGGAACATACCCTTTATCATTTCTTTACGCGTAACTTTTTAGTTGCAGTTAAAAAAAAATGTGCACAAACGATGTCATTATATTAATGATACATACATATATTTTAATACATCAGAAGGAAAATCTGAATGCATATATTAGACAAAATCCAAAAATCGTTATTAACATCTAGAATGGTCTCGAGAACAAATTTTTACATGACTTAAACTAGAAGAGGTTTGGCTCTTTAACAAAACAATGGAAGAAGGCCAATGAAAAAATCAGAACAAAATAAAAGACTTATGTACATAGGTGAATGGAATAAAGAGTGTAATTTTGCCAACGACTAAAGAAACCCCATAAGACTGCTGGATTTGAAAATTTTGTACTATTGAATAACGCGGATATGGACAAAAAAAATTAAATGACTAAAAATCGTAATAAAGAGTAACTGAAAAGAGATAAACAATACTATTAAGTGTTTATCTTACATAAATAAAATCGAAAAAAAAGTGGATACACCAACTATTCAGTGCCAACCAGCCGTGTCGTTAGAAGAAGTAGAAGAAAATCACGGCATTATCAGAAAATGCTTCTAATGTCATCAATATATCTAATATATTTTTTTCTTTTTTTCATAAATATCTAGCAACGATCTCAAAAAAAGATTGATGGCGTAAATGAGTAATTTTTTCTTCGTGATCTAGTTTTAAGTCCAGGAATGAGAAAATTCCATAAAAACTCATCCTCTAATTTAACCCCGTAGGGATCGAATTTTGTAAAATCCCGTCTTAGTCAGCACCTCCGTCCTAAAAAGAACCCGCATACAAAATTTGATACTCCTAGCACTTGTAGTAACGAAGTTTCATACAAACTTTTATCCCTTAATTTACCCTCTTAGGAGTTGAATTTACCCCTATTTGAATGGGGTTGAATACCTACGTCCTTAAAAGAATTAAAGAACCCACACTTGTAGTTTCTGATGAGTGAGTGACCTTTCGCTTATATAACTTCATACAAAACACGCCGGTTTCAAGGTGTCGCCATCTCTGAGGTTCTGGGTTCGATTCCCGGTCGGGTTAATGTAGAAAATGAACTTTTCTATATTGTCTCGGGTCTGGGTGTTGTGTGATCTTCGTTGTCTCAGATACTTCATAATACGGCGGCTTTAGCTACTCATCTTGGAATCTGAGCAATGTATGTAATATTGTTTAATATTTATTTATATTATAGACTAAAAAAATGTCTATAGCTATAATATAAAACAACGTCGCTACTCGCCGTCTGTACACTGTGATTTACAAAATGTGATTGACAAAGTTTAAAAGACTTTACAACGTATTTTAATGCGATTTTCATCAATATACAGAGTGAGTCAATAAGAATGGTTTTATGTGAAACATAAAATCACGCAATGAAGGGAACATAGTCCTATTGTTATTTTTATCACTATTGGTATGTTAACGCCTTCACAATTTCTTCAGCAATAACGAGTATACATATAATTACTATGAAGGATCATTATAAAAGAGATTCGCAAATCTGAGATCCTTTATTGATAAGAAAATACAAAAGTTCAAGATGGAACTTCGAATTTGAATCTAAATTGTTTTCACCTGCAACTTTATTGCTGGCAATACCTACTCAATAAGCCTGTTAACGATTACTCCAAAAGAAACGATACATTGTTGGATGGCACTACGTATTGAAGCTTAGGGCCAAGTTCTAAAAGGTAATATGTAGGGCTGCTACACATCGTTACTGGCAAGTAAACAGCCTCCTAGTCTAGCTAGCCTCGTTTCGTTACCTCCCTCCAGTAAAGACTCGGTGGTCGCGAGGTGTGCACGCTTGTCAGACATGTAAGTTCGTATTGCATGCACCGGGCCGGAACAAACAGGATTGTTTAACCTCGTCGACGGCGTGTTGTAATAATCGTGCTAATAACTTGCATGTATCTCCTCTCGCACCTCTGCCGCGACATTAACTTGAATCTGGTTAATACCGGAGACAAGATGTATCTACGTAATTTTAAACCTGTGACACGCGCCCCGGTCCTGTTATTATGAAAACAAATCCGGTGTTTTGTGACAGCTATTACAAAATCCAACTAAAAATGTATTTAAATTGAAAGAATTATGTTTCATAAAAGTGATTTTCGTTATTATATCAATTTCAGTCCAACAATTATTTATATTTATATGCATTTGCCATCTTGTCCACAATGTAAGTTATGCGTAGTCAACTCAAACAGACTTCTAACAGACTCTATCTTTTATAGGGCTCGACCATCCATCGAACAAAAAGTTTCCATTATACCGAAGACCTTAGTACCGTTTAATAAAAAAAAAGATACATTTCGTATACTAACGATTGCCATAATTATCACGGAGTACATAATAAACCAAACCCTTCATATTTTTAAAATTAAAATTCATAAATTTCAACGTTGATTTATATAATCTCTCTATTTTAATAACGAATATAATTCTACCACAAAGATCTTTTAATGAATGAGTGGTTGATACCACCACTCGGTCCTATCTAATAAGAACCCGTATCCAAAAACAAAACAACTTTAATCCAATTAGTATGACTAACACCACAAACTATCAATTGGGTTTCTTTAATCAATACGCCACCTTTAGGAATTTTACGTACAAACGAAAGCTAATTAACTGAACGTTCTTATGAATCAGCTCTTTTGGGGCAATTCGCTAGGTACATAATCATAGCACATAACCTAATATTTCAACCGTTATTCAGTCGTGCATCAAAACAATGAATTGAGAATTAGTCATATTTTTGTTAGGTCATTCAATAACATTACTTACAGTGGTTTCTGCAGTCACGTAAGCCAAGAGATTGCTTACACAATATTGGTTAAGATTTAATATTACATTCAATGAGGTTTTATAAGTCTTGCACCATTGATCTGGATTTTATAGACAGACAAATTATTTAAATTCATCGTCATGTAGAGACTGCCATTAAAAATAATAATTAAATACCTAAGTACTTAATCTTTGTACATAAACTAACAAACTTTCGCCAAATAACAACGAAATCACGATCGAACTGTGAATAAATCCGATATTTCCAAAATATAGGTGTAAATTAAATATTTACAATAAACTACCGCCTCAGAAATCGGAACTAATAACGTGTCAAAGTTTAGTAAAATGAGTTCCAGCTGGAAGTTATTTTACTGCCTGGCATACACGAACAGTTTATTGATGTGAAAAAAAAAAATCTTGCAATTTATTTAGATTTTCCCACCCTTTAAACCTTCTTTGGACTTCTATAAATATTTTAAAACAAAAAATAGTCCGATTAGTTATCCAGAATATATAATATGTAGGTTCTCCGCTCGCAGCTACGTATCCGTGGAAGTTGGTTATTTTCATCTCTTATTTCAACCCACTTAAAGCCAATTTTTGGAGGGCAAAACTATCCGTTGTTCATTCCCAAAGTCCACTCTATCTGTGTACCAAATTTAATTAAAATTGTTTCAGTAGTTTAGTCGCGAAAACGTAACAGATGTACAAACCGCGAGACAGTTACTTTCGCAAGTATAATATTAGTATGGATTGTTGTTCGTTGTTTTTTTAATGCAATATTCCTCCAAACCTTATGAAATTTTTATGAAACCCGTCCATCTATATCTTCACGCCGTTTCCTTTGCGGAAAGATATAGAGGACCGAACGCCAATTTTTACATACATCTTTCGCCTCTTCCATTTTCATTACTATTTTCATACATACTCGCCGGTTTTTTATGTCTTCTTACATCAGCTTCTAACATGGTCCCTATTAATAAATATACTGCCCATTAAAAATTAGCAAAAATAGTATTTGAAAATTAGTATCAATTTAGTAATTGTAAAGAAAACTTAATATTATTAACAAACCTTAACAAAAGCCAAATAAAGTGTCAGCTAAGACTACTCGTACGTAACCCATCGCGACAGCGATTGCGTTACATTATTACGAAGCTATCAATCAAAGGGCATTATACTTCAGAAGCAATAAAAGCGTTGCCTGCCTGCCCACGCCCTCATTTTTTTGTTGACTTATCTTTGTAGTAAACCTACATATTTCTGGAAATTTCTGACGGGAATCGGCAAGTGGCCGCTTAAACAGGATATTGCCCATTACTGCGTTTGTCGTGGCATATGTCCCACATCGTCGCTTTGCTGCCAATTAGTTGTGGAATCGCAGCCCAAAGATAACACATTCTGATTGATGCATACCGGCTAAATATATCATGTAGTCAATGTTTTAATAATTATAAAGGCAAAAATGCCAGTTAGGTTGCATACCTACGTGTTTTAGTTTTAATACAATATATACAAGTGTCACATTTTAGAAAATATGAAGTTAGGACGTTTAGGAAAAACTCTAGATTTTAGAGAATTCATCCTCTTATTTGGGCATAATTAAAAACATACTTAACTAAGTATTGTTTACATATGTAATTGATGACCGAACACCTTTATTGAACCATACCTAGCCTTACTTCAGCAATCTAAACTCATAAAACCACCAACTTATGTTATACATTTCACGCCGGTATGTTATCGTCAGCCTGTTGAACTGTTACAATCTAATTTCTTTACCTTCAGATACGAGACAATTTAAAAGATTATATTTCCTTTTACAGATAATATGGGTGTTAATGTTACTCTTTAAAGTCTGGACAACTACATGAAAATGGCTCGACTAAAGGTACTAGTGATTGCACTCCTTGCGAATACTTTGACACACGCCTTCAATGGAGACAGTTTCGAGCTGGAGTGTCCTGACGAATGCGACTGCCATTACTTCAGAATTAATTGGGTGACTGATTGCTCAGAGAGCAACCTCACAGAAGTGCCATACGATGAGCTGAGCATGAGCGTCTACATACTGGACTTGAATGGCAATAACATTACCACCCTGAAGACATTTCCTGGAGATATCAAGATGAGAAGATTGCAGATAGCCGACAACAGACTTACCCGGGTGGATAGAGAATCTTTTAAAGGTCTGGAGTATCTGATAGATGTGGATTTGTCGGGCAATAACATAAGTTACGTCGATCCAGAAGCTTTCTTGTAAGTAACAGTTATAATTATTCTCTATCACAGCAAAGTGTGATCAGCAGAGGTCGGAATTAGGTAGAGTTATTTATGTACTTGCATCGAAATGTTGATATATGTGGACCTTCCCGGGATTTCTAATGGACAATCTTGGACATATTTGGACATCCGATGTCATTTATGTAAGTTTGGCAACGTCGTGCGTGCAGTAGTTTAAATTGTGTAAAAGTAAATAACTTTTTATTTAAAAAATCACGGGCTTTTTTCTGCTCTTTAAAATTAATCTCGGGATTTGAGGCATATCCACTTTATTCTTTCGCTGTATGAAATCAGTGTAAGTACATGAATAACTCTACCTAATTCCGACCACTGGTGATCAGTGATCGATCTTATCAAGCTTTTAAATACCCACTCTAATCAATGACTCCAACCTCAATAAACCCTCATCAGCTATCACTAGATAGATCTAATATGCATGAAATAAATAGAACCTTTATAAAACATAATTTTCCGGCAATATACCATATTTTTTCTATCACCCAACTCTAGGGTACCTAATCGATATTGATCAAGCATTCTTCTATTTTTGTTGTTCATGAATAGAATGATTTTCGCAATCTTATTTTTTGATGAATTTATCATTTTGTATTGCGACCTTGGCCTGTAATGTACTAAGGCTGCATTGCCGAAACTATAATTTTTTTGTGACGGTCAACGACCCACGGTACAAGCGGCAGGGTGCAACCACCGCGTGAACTTGGGGACGCAACGAGACGCGGTCACGTCGAAACTAGGTCACTCAGTCACTGAGTAAGAAGACTACGAGGTCTTTCATCGGACAATCCTAGGGCTGACACTCGTATGGGGTTTCCTGTATTTAAGAAGGCGTCTGGGTAAGGTTTTTACTATCCGAGGTAAAAATATTCTGGCACTATTGCTATTAGTTGCCGTCAAACAATGTATGATGACAACGAAACTAAGCGAGCGATTTGTACGTCCTGATTTTTACTTAAATCTTGTTCCAAGTTCCTAGTTTACAGGTTTTTCAGATGGCAACCTAAGCATTCCCAGATGTAATATGTCGGTCTATCACGTAAATAACTAATCTTCATACAGCTGCCATAGTAAACTACCAACAAAAGGAAAGTTCGTCTAAAAAAAAGGTCACTTTAAAATGTATTGAAATATTAAAATAAAGAATATTTAGTTTATCTAGATACAAAGAACTGTCTCCAAAACCGTTTGTCTGTAGGAGATAAGGTGTGGCTTGAGCTTCTAAATGAAGTTTTGCAATACAAATTCAATCAGAATCAATATATTTATATAAAATCCGTTCAGTAGTTTTTGCGGGAAAGAGTAATAAACATATTCACAAACTTTCGCATATATATTATTATAGTAGGATATGATCTTCCACTCAAATTAATGTCCTCAGATTGTATAGTTTAGATGTAAACAAAAACACCTTAATTAATTATAATTTGTAGCAAGGCGCAAAAAATTATAAATAAAAATTAAATATGCAATCGACGTCTTAAAATTGCGGAACCTCAGATTAATAGTGTACCGTATCCAATTAAAAAAAAGGGGGGGAAAAAAATTTACCTTCGTTGATAATAATAATTTAATCATAGTATGAATAGTACTCAATACTGAACTCTCTTAATTAAATAATTGAATAGACATGTCATATATAAATAACCTGCAACGACGGAACTTCTGATGTCTGATCACAATTAGTCTTCTTTTTTGTTTTCTTAAATCGTTTCAATGTAGATTGTAACGATTTTACTTGTCTCATTTAGTTGTCGATAATTGAACTTATACAACACTTATTACATCAATAATGTTAAGGTACCGGATAAAGCAAATCAATCAAATGAAATAATCAACAAATTAACTGACTTTTTAACAGCATAATAAGATTTTGAATTACAAAATCACCAATACAAAGACTGAATAAATGAGGGTAGAAAGCGAACTTAATTATTTCGCTGTAGCGAAAAAAGTCTAAGAATTGTCCACGGGACCCCAAAAAAGTGGAGAAAACGCCACGACATTGAAAATAACTGATAAATAACAAGTTTGTTATAGTTACGATGGTTTAAATCCGTAGTTGAATTGGCTAATCAGGCGCGACCTATCGTTGCACCGAGATGCATTGCGAGATATCTCGATGGCATTGTTTTCAAATTACGAAGACAGGGCTGTTGTCGCCTTGTTGTAGTATACTTACTTTGCAAGAATTAATCCTTTAGATATGCTTGTGTCGAATAAAAAAAATATAACAAATTCACACGGACAGCAACCTCGCAAAACTGCTAATGACCATAATAGAGTATTTGTTGTGGTTGCAGATTGTTAAAATCAAGACAACAGCTACGAAACAATCAACTTGGTCAATGGCTCCTCTTTTTGAGATAAACCGTTTTGCAATAAGAAGTTTTTCTTACAGTCACCTCATAGACAAACTCGTATTAGATGCACATATTGCTGTTTCAAGTTTTACTGTTTATTGGTTTTACTGTAAAGGTGGACAAAATTGACCATATTTAATAATAGTTGGCTAAAATTACTTTATGGCTGTTTAGTATCTGATGTAGTTGAGTTGGTGACTGACGCAGTATTTATTTTTATTTTTATAATTTTTGTTATTATTATATTAGTACCTATTTGTAAATTTTCCAAGATATCATAAAACTGGTTCATGTGCAATATTTACTTGTTGACTAGTTTTTTCAATCCTGCCGCCCACTCAGTAGCAGGACGTTATTCAGCTATTAATCCTCTTTGGTTCTCAGTTCTATCATCTATGCCTTTCGCACTTTCATGCCTCATACCACATAGTCATACTATTCTTCACCCTTTAGCAGTTGGGATCACAGACATTGAAGAGAATCATCGTCATCATCAGACATCATGTTAGATGTCTGTAGCTCGGATTACTATGTTATGCTATTCTTTTTTATTTCTTTAAATTGTTACTTGTTGAAGTTGTCAACAATTAACAATTCAATTCTGCTGGTTAAATAAATATCACTTCAAAAGTAAACAATAAAAGTACATTGTTTCAAGCTAACGCATATGTTACAAAAATATAGTCAAGATCCAAGTTACTTGCATAATATTTGGAAACATTAACTTCCTGCTAAATGGCAAACGTGTGAGCATTATAACAAAATAGTGAGTCATTGTTTACTTGACGCTACGCTAGCTAGGTAGATCTCTCTCACGGCCGCTCATTGTTGGTTGACAGCTCTGACATTCATCCCTAACGACACAATACTGATGACAAAATTGTACCAATTGAACTTGATGCGATGACCAGAACTCTTATAAATGGAAGTTAACGCGTTATTCCAATATTAGATAATGGTCACACAATGAATGCAAATTGAAATTGATGCCCAGTTACACTCTTATTATAACATACTATAACGTAGAAAAACATCTTGTGAAGGATAATTGACATAGCGGTTTTACATTTATGACCTTCGCAAACGGTAATGAAGCAATATCTTACAATAATAGTATGGTTGTACGAGTATTCAAGCTTTCTTCTGTAACAAATGAATAATAATGGCGGTCATACTGATGTAGGACTTTATAATTTTTATGGTCACTTATTTTTTATTTATTTTTTTTATTTCAGGGATTCCCGAGGGCTTCTCAACGTCGAGTTACAAGATAACCCTATCAGTACCGTAGATGGACCATTTTTAATCTCCAGTACTTTACAGTTTCTGGATTTAAGCAATTGCAACTTGTCCAGTATTAACCTACAGTTCTTTGATAACATCACATCTCTCACAACAGTGGACCTTTCAAACAACCCGTTAAAAAATTTAGAGAGTGGAACATTTGACGTTTTAACCAGTCTAGAAACTCTAAAGCTGAACGACTGCAAGCTCACTAGTATAGCTGAAAACGTATTCTCGGCATTGGTTAACCTTAAATACTTGGAACTGGCGGGCAATCAGTTAACAAATATGAACTGGCCAGAATTGTTAGGAAAGCTAATCAGACTAGAATATCTCAATCTAAGAAAAACCGGCATTAAATCGTTGTCAGAAGATGCATTTTCAAATTGTACTAACTTAGTCTCACTGATTTTGGCAGACAATGAATTGCGTGACTTAGATGTCGCAGCTACCTTAGGTAGTAGTGTTGATCATTTAGAATTATTAGACTTATCCAATTGCAAAATACGTGGACCTATAGCTGGCGATGCCTTTGCTAATGCTACGAGGTTAAAAAGTCTTTACCTTTCTGGTAATCCTTTATTCGCTCCTGATTTACAAGAAGCTCTTGAACCATTACCGAAGTTAGAAAAACTGTTTTTGAGCAACTGTGGCTTACGAAACCTTCCAGACAATTTCAATGTGTTTGATAATCTACAAGAACTGGATATATCACATAATCCATTAGTAAACGTTTTCACTAAGTTGTTAGCCCCACTTGAAAAACTGGAATATCTTAATATGGGTTATAGTAATCTTTCTTATATAGGCCCTGATTCGTTTTCTAAAATGACCTCAATGAAAAGACTTGTTTTATCAGGTAACGATTTATTATCACTTGAAGCGGGACTCTTCGGCAATTTAACCCAATTGACCACTTTAGAGTTAGAATTCTGTGGTTTAAAAAGACCATTGAACTCAAATGCTTTCTTCAAAAATCTAACATATATGGACCTAAGAGAAATAAGATTAGGTGGGAATCCATTAGTTATCCCTGCTAGTGGTCCATTATTCCCGAAACGACTTTCTCAGATTACTATAATGGATTTAAGTAATTGTAATATTACTTATCTCAATCGTGACGCTTTCAAAAACACTGAGAATATTACAGATTTAAATCTAGCAAGTAATCGTATCGAATCTAAAGAAGATAGTTTACAATTCTTGGCCAGGTTACATCATCTGGAAAAAATAAATTTGAGTAACAATAACTTAACCACCATCGATCCGGAAGTGTTTGTTAACAATCCAAAACTCCATTCGTTGAATTTAGTTGGCAATCCATTTATTTGTGATTGCAAGATTGCTGAAATGTGGGATTGGGCTAATATGATCAAGGGCAATCTAGACTTTCTCATAGGAGCAAAGAGCGCTGAAAAAGACATAGTAGTGAAAGGAAATAAGAAGAAGAAACATTTGTATTGTCATTATAACGAAACACAGATTAGAAACCATACGATTTCAGTGAATAAAACAGTACCAGGAAGAAGACCGTTCATGAAACCTAGAGAGTTGACGTTAGCTAATAGGACTTGGGCAAAGTACGTTAGAGAATCCGGGTGTGAACCTGTGGTAAAAATACTACGTCCAGTTGCTTTAACGTCAGATCTGTTTGACCCTGAAAGGGCATTTTCCACAGGCGCTGTGATCCTGTCTGTAATAGCTTTGATATTCGGTTTATCAGCATTGTTGATGACAGTACGACTTCTCCGAAGAAGAAACACTACTGAAGTCGATACAGAGAAAAATAGAAAAGCAAGATAACAAAGAAAAATAAAAATCAATTAATTATTCCGAAGAAAAATAAAGGATTTCGGATCTTTATTCGTGTACGTTATTAGTATTCTGTCATTTTTTCATACTGTTTTACATTTATTGTAGTTTTACATTTATAAATAAAGATAACATTTAATGTAAAATATATGTAAAATATATAAAATATATAAATACATAAAATAAGTAATGAAATTCCATACTAAGGATAATAAATTATTTATTTTATGAAACAAATAATTTCTTTCGAATGAAAAAGACACTCTTTGTATAAAAATACTATAAATAGTAATACATTAAGTCTTACTGTATTGAAACGGATACTAGTCAAAACGAAAACATTGTAATAAAACCTAATCGTATTCCATTAGTATTCGCCTATGTTAAAATTAAAATTATTTTAATTATTATATTGTATTGTAATATTTCAATAAATCGATCCACAATCGCCCATCGTCCATCATCTACTATGTAAATATGTATATTTCAAAATATCCCTAGCTTTTTATTATACAGAGATGTGACTTATCTTAGATACAAGTATTTGAAATACAGATACAAGATACAAAATACGTATTTTCATCTTGTATCTAAAATAGTTTTTTTAGGAAGTATTTTGTATCTTGTATTTAAATACTTTTAAAGTATTTAAATACAAGATACAAAATCGTATTTAAATACTTAAGCAATAATAAATCTTGATTTATGTAAAAACTCGGTTATATGCTATAAATAAAACTCAGTATATCAATTAAACTCATTATTAAATTTTATAATTTTTTTGCAGATTATACTTTACACTAAGAACAGCATTCAAAAAAATTATTTTTAAAGAAATTTCACTGTGAAATTCGATACATGGCAAATGCTTGAAATTATATCCAGTGAGCAAAGCAATATTGCCTTTATTGACTCAACAGTTAATCTTTTTCTATCTTTTGACCACTGCATATTCATGAGCGAAAAAAAAATCAATATTCGCATTATGAGGCATAATACAAAAAAATACTGACAAATCTTCAGTAGTTCGGAAACGAGTGCTGTCATTGCATATATTGAAAATAATTACCCACTGCTTTTCAACTAATCGTCATAAAAATAAATTCGTTAATAGAAAAAATTCTTCAAATAATTTTTTTGACATCGTCAATTAATACTCCTTTATTTTTCAAAAATACAACACAATCTGTGATGTAATCGTATGGTAGATTTTGCTTTAATAAGTAACCATTTAATTCAAGGGATCTTTATTGAGAAACAACAAAAAAATGGGCGGAGTCCTGTCTTAATATTAGGTCTTTACCTATGGAATTGCCGTTCTACTGTACTAGCCATTTAAAATCAAACTATTTTTTTGGCTGATAATTCTAATATCAAATTATTTTTTCTTAAATCGTCATTTGTTCAATAGTAAGTGTTTTGTTTTCAATGAATTTGAATATTTTTCGTCGTCATGGATAAGTTAAAAATTCGAGTAATTATGGAGTATATGTGCCATCGTGGCAGCAAAGCGGCACGCAACATTACAACGTTTGCAGAGCGAACACTACAAACGAACGCACCACCCGTTATTGGTTTGCCCGTTATTGGTTTACGAAAAGGTTGCTGTTTGGTGGTCTAACGCGGATGTATTTCATCACAGCTTCTTAACAAACAGGACGACCATTACTGCAGATTTACTGTGTGTATTGTGAAGAACTGAACACAATAACGGAGAAGCTGGCACAACTCCAACCAGGTTTTGTCAATCGTTCGGTTCCACTGCTCCTGCACGACCACGTACGACCTCATACTACACAATTGGCGGTACCCAAGCTACAAGAGCTGGGGTTTGAAGTTCTCCGTCATCCGCCGTACTTAACAGACCATGCGCCTACAGACTTCTTATTCTTCCAGAATTTGGATAACGTCTTAGCGGGAAAAAAATAAATTCCCGAGAGGCAGTACAAAATGCCTTTGAAGTATTTGTTGCCTCCCGTCCAGCTGATTTCTTCAAGAAGGCATCATTAAACTACCAATGCGTTGGCAAAGATGTATTGATTGCATGGGTGAATACTTTGATTAACAGAAATAAGAAAATAAAGCTTCATTTATTTTATTAAAAACGGAAATATCATAGATAAAGACTTAATTAATACTTCAAATCCGGTTGAGACCGGATTTATCCGATCAGATGGTAACTAATGGCGCATTACCAACAGTACCAGCAATACCAACTCTACGTCTTTTTAGGTACATCTACGTATTATAAGCCTTTCCTACAAACCAACGTACTATAATCAACCACAGAAGCTAAGTATTTTCTACTAAAAATTTTCAAATTAGCTTAACACATTAAAGGGGCATAATTTTCGGTAATTCTGCAAAAAAAGTTAATATACGTTCCGTTACATACTATCGCACATTCACCTCGTCACAAGTCATGCCATTAATTTTAAAAACCAAGTACTGTATTTATTTTTACCCATTCTCTTCATCTCACTAGGAAAAAATGAATTTTCAGTTCTCCGTAATTTTACGTCGTACGTAAAACCAGCTTTTTTAATAAATAATAATTTTATAATTAAATTTAAATAATTATTGTTGTTGTTATATTTCAGCAATTTTTCATTCACCATGCTATATTGAAAAAAAAAATATTAAAAAGGAACTAAAAAATTTAAAATAATTTAAACCTGATGTATTAAATATTTACATTTTTATATGTAACATTGTGATTGACAAACAAATAAAACGGAGGAAAAGTGGGTGAAATTTAGCTTGTAAGATTTGAGTACAAACACAGGTGTAACTAAATAAAAGCTTACAAAAATGGTTTCTAATGAAAAATGCTTAAAAAATCCACTTACCATCTGGTCTAAGATTTAGGTTTTTGTGGTCTTTAATAAACAAACTGAAATTCAAATCTTTTTTTAGAAAAGTATTTGTATTTATAAAAAGTATCTATAAGATACATATTTTGTATCTAGTATTTCAAATACTCAGAGATGTGACTTATCTTAGATACAAGTATTTGAAATACAGATACAAGATACAAAATACGTATTTTCATCTTGTATCTAAAATACTTTTTTTAGGTAGTATTTTGTATCTTGTATTTAAATACTTTTGTTTAGTATCTTAGTATCTTTTAAATACTTTTTCTGATAAAATACTTTATAAAAAGATTATTTCTTACATTTTATAAATATCACAAAACATTCTTTGCCTAAAACATACATATTTACAAAAAGAAATCGAATAACCAGATACAAGCAATAAAAAATCTTGATTTATGTAAAAACCCGGTTATATGCTATAAATAAAACTCAGTATATCAATTAAACTCATTATTAAATTTCATTATTTTTTTGCACATTATACTTTTTCCACTAACAACAGCATTCAAAAAGTTTATTTTTAAAGAAATTTCACTGTGAAATTCGATACATGGCAAATGCTTGAAATTATATCCCGTGAGCAAAGCAATATTGCCTTTATTGACTCAACAGTTAATCTTTTTCTATCTTTTGACCACTGCATATTCATGAGCGAAAAAAAAAAACAATATTCGCATTATGAGGCACAATACAAAAAAATACTGACAAATCTTCAGTAGTTCGGAAACGAGTGCTGTCATTGCATATATTGAAAATAATTACCCACCGCTTTTCAACTAATCGTCATAAAAATAAATTTGTTAATAGAAAAATTCTTCAAATAATTTCTTTGACATCGTCAATCAATACTCCTTTATTTTTCAAAAATACAACACAATCGGTGATGTAATCGTATAGTAGATTTTGCTTTAATAAGTAACCATTTAATTCAAGGGATCTTTATTGAGAAACAACAAAAAAATGGGCGGAGTCCTGTCTTAATATTAGGTCTTTACCTATGTAATTGCCGTTCTACTGTACTAGCCATTTAAAATCAAACTATTTTTTTGGCTGATAATTCTAATATCAAATTATTTTTTCTTAAATCGTCATTTGTTCAATAGTAAGTGTTTTGTTTTCAATGAATTTGAATATTTTTCGTCGTCATGGATAAGTTAAAAATTCGAGTAATTATGGAGTATGTGTGCCATCGTGGCAGCAAAGCGGCACGCAACATTACAACGTTTGCAGAGCGAACACTACAAACGAACGCACCACCCTTTATTGGTTTACGAAAAGGTTGCTGTTTGGTGGTCTAACGCGGATGTATTTTATCACAGCTTCTTAACAAACAGGACGACCATTACTGCAGATTTACTGTGTGTATTGTGAAGAACTGAACACAATGACGGAGAAGCTGGCACAACTCCAACCAGGTTTTGTCAATCGTTCGGTTCCACTGCTCCTGCACGACCACGTACGACCTCATACTACACAATTGGCGGTACCCAAGCTACAAGAGCTGGGATTTGAAGTTCTCCGTCTTCCGCCGTACTTAACAGACCATGCGCCTACAGACTTCTTATTCTTCCAGAATTTGGATAACGTCTTAGCGGGAAAAAAATAAATTCCCGAGAGGCAGTACAAAATGCCTTTGAAGTATTTGTTGCCTCGCGTCCAGCTGATTTCTTCAAGAAGGCATCATTAAGCTACCAATGCGTTGGCAAAGATGTATTGATTGCATAGGTGATTACTTTGATTAATAGAAATAAGAAAATAAAGCTTCATTTATTTTATTAAAAACGGAAATATCATAGATAAAGATTTCAAATCCGGTTGAGACCGGATTTATCCGATCAGATGGTAACTAATGGCGCATTACCAACAGTACCAGCAATACCAACTCTACGTCTTTTTAGGTACATCTACGTATTATAAGCCTTTCCTACAAACCAACGTACTATAATCAACCACAGAAGCTAAGTATTTTCTACTAAAAATTTTCAAATTAGCTTAACACACTAAAGGGGCATAATTTTCGGTAATTCTGCAAAAAAAGTTAATATACGTTCCGTTACATACTATCGCACATTCACCTCGTCACAAGTCACGCCATTAATTTTAAAAACCAAATACTGTATTTATTTTTACCCATTCTCTTCATCTCACTAGGAAAAAATGAATTTTCAGTTCTCCGTAATTTTACGTCGTACGTAAAACCAGCTTTTTAAATAAATAATAATTTTATAATTAAATTTAAATAATTATTGTTGTTGTTATATTTCAGCAATTTTTCATTCACCATGCTATATTGAAAAAAAATATTATTAAAAAGGAACTAAAAAATTTATAATAATTTAAACCTGATGTATTAAATATTTGCATTTTTATATGTTACATTGTGATTGACAAACAAATAAAACGGAGGAAAAGTGGGTGAAATTTAGCTTGTAAGATTTGAGTACAAACACAGGTGAAACTAAATAAAAGCTTACATAAATTGTTTCTAATGAAAAATGCTTAAAAAATCCACTTTGTCCCTGGAACCATCTGGTCTAAGATTTAGGTTTTTGTGGTCTTTAATAAACAAACTGAAATTCAAATATTTTTTAGAAAAGTATTTGTATTTGTAAAAAGTATCTATA